AAATAGACATCTAGTGTTCCTTAATATTTAATCATTTACAATAAAAACGTTGGCATCAATTAAAAAAAAACCCCAATATTTTCTAGATCAAATGGGCATTCACAAAGGTAGAGATTGGAGGAAATTATTCAGATAATACTAACTTGTATACTTTTGTTCCAGATTGCCTTCATGATCACTCCATCTTTAGTTTTTTGGGTTGGGATAGGCCAGATAACGATACTGTTCTTGAAAACTTTTGAGGAGGGATTTTTTTTTTTAATGTAAAGCAAAAACAAAGCCAAGGAGACAGTATCCTGTGATGCAACCTGTTATCTCAAGATGAGGTCATCGGTGGCACTACCATGTGATGAATTATTTAAAGAACAAATTTCGGGTATGGCGTATATTATTTCTCAGACTTTTTCATTTCAGTTTAAACTTTGGTGGTTTATTGGACACTGAAGGAATCAACTAAAACCAGAAAAAAAGAAGGGCTCATTGCTCTTGAGTTGTATTTCACATTGAGAAGAAATATTTCTGATCAACATTTCTGATGAGCTCAGTACTATGTTTCAGTTCCTGGTAAATCAAGGGTGGAAAGCAAAGACCAGATTTTTATGCACCACAAAGCAAAACAAAAGCAAAAAACCTTCCAGGGCATAATGCATTTTTTATTAAACTTACTGCTGAACTGTTTTGATCACGTGATCCTATCCAGCCATGAAAGTATCAGAAGTGTAAATTCTGGGGTGAAGAAATAATTGCTGGAGGTGGTTAATTAGGCAGAACTCACAAATCTGCATTTACAGTTTGTGCACAAATAAATCATCAGTGGATGACACAAATGTAAAGAAAAATTCTTGACTGCATTCCAGAGAAGCAAGATTGAACTTTTTACCAAAATAACATTTTACAGCTCCCAGAGGGATGTTGTGAGTATTACATGTGATGTGCTCAGAATAGCAATACCGGGCGTTGTGAATCCTAGTAAATGCTCCTGTTTATTCTTACAAGGATTATAGTGGGAAGGATTAAGTCATGGCTTAATCATCCGTAATAAACTACTCTAACTAAAAAAAATTAAAAGATTTGCTTTATATGTATTGCTATGATCGATGCATAAATATTTACAAGTGTCTTATTCTTTTGTTGTATTTATCCCTTTATCATTATGTAGGGTCTTTCTTTGTCTTTTATTATAGCCTTTGTTTTAATGTCTATTATGTCTTAAGTATTGCTACCCCTGTTTTTTTCTTTTGTATTTGCATGAACTATCTTTTTCCACCCATTTACTTTCAGTCTGTGTGTGTCTTTCATTCTGAGGTGGGTCCTCGTAGGCAGCATATATAGGGTTCTTATTTTTTTATCCATTCAGTTGCCCTATGTCTTTTGATTGGAGCATACAATACATTTACACTTAATGTGATTATTGATAGTTAAAGAATTATTACCATTTTACTTTTTGTATCGGTGTTCCTTTTTCCCCTTTCTTCTTAAATAAGACCCTTTAACATTTCTTGTAATGCTGGTTTGGTGGTAATAACTCCTTTAGCTTTCTCTAGTCTCAGAAGCCCTTTATCTGTCCTTTGATACTAAAGAATAGGTTTTCTGGGCAGAAATTATCTGACAGTTTTATGACAGCTTCCTTGTAGGCAATTAACTGTCTTTCTCTTGCTACTTTTAGGATTTTTTTTTATCTGTAACTTTTACCATTTAATTATGATGTGCCTTGGTGTGATCCTCTTTGGATTCATCTTGTTTGGGTCTCTGTACTTCCTGGGCTTGTATGTCTATTTCCTTTACCAAGTTAGGTAAGCTTTCAGCCATTATTTCTTCACTTAGGTTCTCAGTCCCTTATCTTTCTCTTCTTATGGTACTCCTATGATACTAATGTTGTTACTTGATGTAAAAACATAAAAAAGGGACTTCTGGTCAAGATGGTGGTGTAGGCAGATATGGCTTACCTCTTTGCACTACCGCATCAAAATTACAACTAAAATACAGAACAACAATCAGTCAGAACTGTCAGAAATCGAATTGAGTGGAAGTCTGACAATTACGGAAATAAAGAAACCACACCCATCCAGACTGGTAGGAGGGGCAGAGACACGGAATGCAGAAAGGGCTGGTCCCTTGACCACGTGTGGTTGATAAAAATTCAGGAGGGTTATGTCTGGAGCAAGGGGTCCCAACCCCACACCAGGCCCCCCAGCCCAGGGTTCCAGTGCCAGGAAGATAAGTCCCCAGAACTTTTGGCTATAAAAACCAGGAGAGATTGAGTTGGTAGAAGAAACTGCTGGAGCACCAAGCAGTTCCTCTTAAAGAATCCACACATAGACTTACTTACTCACTCATTCCCTCTGAGCTCCAGTGTCAGGGTAGCAGCATGAAAGGCACCAGTGGCATAGAGGGAGGAACTGTAGCACTTGGCATCAAGGCAAGCAGAGGTCATTGTCCCTTTTCTAAAGCTTCCCCACACATAGCCAGCACACTGGTGCCATATCTGAGAGTCCATCAACTTAGCTAACACTCTTTGACCTGCCTTAGAGGTCCCCAGAGACTTTGTCCCACCCAATTTACAGGCCCACCCAAGCTGCTTTTCCATATGAATGTCTGGTCTTGGCTCATGCCCCACAACTTCCTACATCCATCCTCTCAGACAAGCAACAGCAGGCCTCAGTGAGCCCCAGGCATTGGCACTAGCAGCAGCCAGCCTAGATTCACAGCTTGGCTTTGCCTGGGAATCTTGAAGCCCAGCACAAGCAGTGACCATCTCAGATTGCTTTATAGTTTAGGCAGGGTGGCCCCCAGCAGAACATAGGTGGGAGCTGATCTTGGCCTGCACCACCCAGGAAGCCCCAGGGCCAGCGCACGCAGTGGGCACCTACAGACCATGTCAGAGCACCACCACCCTGCCCCTGCACAGCTGATCCTCCACGGAGGGCAGAGGTTGGTGGTCAGGGGTCACAGCCAGTCCTTGCAGCTGACTGTGCTGGGTAAATCCCTCCCATTGATCTGCCAACAGCAACCAAGGCTCAACCACAGGAGGGTGTACTCAGCCCACGTGAAGGGCGCACCTCAAGTACTCAGCTTGGGTGATAGGGGAGGCTGTGCCACTGGACCCTACAGGACACCTACTACATTAGGCCATGCTACCAAGACATGGAATCAAAGCAGCTCTATCTAATACAGTGAAACAAACACAGGAAGGCTGCAGAAATGAGGAGACAGAGAAACATGCCCCAAATGAAAGAACAGATAAAAACTCCAGAAAAAGAGCTAAGTGATATGGAGATAAGCAATCTGTCAGATGTAGAGTTCAAAACACTGGTTATAATGATGTTCAAGGAACTTGGTGAGGACCTTAACAGCATAAAAAAGATCCAGTCAGAAATGAAGGATATACTAATTGAAATAAGGAATAATTTACAAGGAAATTACAGTAGAGTGGATGAAGCCAAGAATCAAATCAATGATTTGGAACATAAGGAAGCAAAAAACACCCAATCAGAACAGTAAAAAGAAAAAAGAACCCTCCCAAGAGAGAATAGTGTAAGGAGCCTCTGGGACAACTTCAAGTGTGCCAACATTCACATCATGGGGGTGCCAGGAGGAGAGAGAGAGAGAGAGAGCAAGAAATGGAAAACCTGTTTTAAAAAATGATAGAAAACTTCCCTAACCTGGTGAAGAAAATAGACATACAAATCCAGGAGGTGCAGAGAGTCCCAATCAAGATGAACCCAAAGAGGCCTACACCAGGACACATTATATTTAAAATGCCAAAGGTTAAAGACAGAGTGAATCTTAAAAACAGCAAGGGAAAAGAAGTCAGTTACCCAAAGGCAGCTCTCGTAATACTGTGAGGTGAGGCGCCCTCCCACTCCTAGAAGCATGCCTGTACCTTTTTCTTCCTCCTCCTCTTCCCTCTCAGACATGCATCTCCTAAACTCTATGGGACCCCCTGAGACTTTCAACCAGGGGAGCAATGGGCAGTGGTAACTTGTCCCTGCCTGTCCCCTGAACCTGTCTCCAAGGCCCTCTTTTCTCTGACTTCTCAGTGAGCTAAGGCAGCCCCACCTAGACTCACTCCTGTTGTTTCTTCTATCTTAAGCCCTTCTGTGTTTCACTGTCCCCAGCTTTAATAATCGTACTCTCAAAACAAAACAAAAAACCCTACCTCATAGACACAGAAACCAGTACGGTGCTTACCAGAGGGAAGGCGGTGAGGGGCATTGAAGGTTAAAGGGGTTTTAAATATATGGTTCCGGAAGGTGATTTGACTTTGGGTGGTTGGCACACAATGCAATATACACATCATATCATAGAAATGTACACTTGAAACCTATGTAATCTTACCGATGTGACCCTTATACATTTATTTAAAAAAAATAAAAATGGCATCAGTTATTACTACGTCTTTGAGGTCCTCTCTCCTATGTTTTGAGTTTTTACCCAATGGTTTTGCAACATTAGATGTGAAATAGAAATAACATACACATTTAGAAAGAAATCATCTTTTCATAACTTGACTTTTTCTTCACCATTATCATTTATTTCCTCTGAGGTAATGTGCCTTTTGAAACACAGAATTAAGGAACAGACCACAATTTGGCAAAAACTTGTCCATTAATATTATATTTCAGCCATAATCAAGGGTTTTTTTTTTTGCTATTTTAGGAACAAAGCTTCCACTGTAATATAAAAACCATCGTAAACATATCCTTGATATTTCTGTCAACATGCCAATAAAAACGTAAAAAGTATAAAACACTAATAAAGCTTGTAATTAACTTTCACTTATAAATGTATATCATAGAACAAAATCTCTTACATATCATTATACACATAGGCATAAATATAAGTATTCCCTAAAACAATTTGTAATGTCAACAAATTTTTCTTAAAAAGCCATTTTAGATAATTTTGCTCCCAGTAATAACCATGCAGAAAGGCAGACCCCTTTTCATCTACTTTAGATAAGTTTTTAATTATTTCTGTTTAAAGATAGAAATGCCCGTTGTCTGGTTTCTTAAGGAAGGCCTGTGTGAGAGAATTCCCTCTAAGAACCTCAATAATTAACAGAAAGTTCGCCATTCTCTTCTAGGGGACCTGGGTCAGGAGCAGAAGAAATTTGGACACAAACTGGCCTTTGACCGGGCTTACCTTCCTCAGTTTGCAGACTGTACGTTGCATGGAGCCTTTGGGGCCATTTGGGTGACTTGTAGGCAGTCCTAGCACTTGCACATTCTCTCTTGGAAGAAATGGCCCTACTTTGCCTGGTCAGTCAATACTGCAAAGAAGGCGGCAGTGCGTTTTATATAGCTCCGGGACATTCCAGTTTTCATCTGATCGAGTGCGTGCAGAGGGATATGTTGTTAGTATGACTGAAAACTACTTGCTAGTTTTATATCTTAAAAGGCTAGCTCTTATCCTTTGTAAAGCTTTTATGTGAGGGGGAAATCCTTGATCTTGGACCCATTTAAGTGCCAGTGCGTAAGTATTCTTCACCCCTTGGCAAATGATCGAATTTATAATCTAGTTAATAGTTGCAGACTGAAATTTTAACACTTACAAATACTTTTAGGATCTCTCATAAGGTGGATGCATAAATCAGATAAATTTATAGGCACACATCGAGTTAAGTATTTACAAATTATTAGCGGATGTTGTAATTTTTATTGTAGTTATTTGAGAAAATACTTGCTCAGGAAACTATGTGTCAATGATATGCATTGGAGATGGGTTTACACTATTCTTTACATATTTCATCTTTTTCTGGCAGTGAGACCTTCTTCTTGGGTGAATAAGTCATGCTGGACAAAGAGTGCTTTCTAAACGTAGACAACCTTCTCCTAAAATTCCCCCCGGAAAAGAAATATAGGAGAGGGTCAAAACAACAATTGGATGCAGCCAGAGACAAGGTTATAACCACTGACTTTTGCATTCTAAGAAGAGAATCACAAGATTTAGTTTCACTGACCAAAAAGTGAAGGTGAATGGTACGTTGAATATGATATGGCGTGAAGCTGATTAAAAAGGCAGCCGTCACGATTATGATCATTCCTATAGCCTTTTTACGACTTGACAGATTTTTCTTCATTGCATTTTTTAGTAAAGTCAAAATGATCATTGTGTAACAGACAAGTATAATAACAAAAGGAATGAGAAATCCAACAAACAATGACACATAATGCAAGATCAAGACATGAGTTTTAGTTTGATCATCCTGTGGAGGCTCAAAGCACTTGGTATTGTTTTTCTCATCTTTGTAACTTTTGGACATTAAAAATGGAGAACTGGTCAAAATCACAAAAATCCAAATGCTAACACACACAAATCTGGCTTTTTTATGTGTCACCAAATGAATATTCTGGACTGGGAAAACAATTGCAATGCACCGGAAAAAGCTCATGGCTGTCATAAAGAAGATGCTACAGTAGAGGTTGACGTACAAGGCATAGGTGCTAATACGGCACAAAACGTCACCAAAGAACCAAATGCCTTTGTGAACATAATAGACCACACGGAGAGGCAGTGTACACACGCACAGCAGATCTGCTAATGCTAAATTCATCATGTATATTTGGAAGGCTGACTTCTCATGATATGTTTTTATGAGGACATAGAGCACAAAGCCATTGCCAAAGAAGCCCACAACAGAGATCATGGAGTACATGGTGGAATACACTTGATTGCGGAAGTCTTCAATACTGCCATTGCACATGTTACTGCTGGCAGACGATACTGTCAGGTTTCCAACTCCATCCATGTTTTCCTAGGAATGTCTGCTTGTTACCTACAATAGATACACACATATATTTATAAAAAGCTTGTCAATTTTTACCAGACCATAAATAACAGGAAGTACTAAGGTTTCACTTTATAATGTCACTCTGTATGCATTTTGACCATGGCAGGAAGCGGGGGTGAGGGGTGGAGGGGTGAGGGGCAATGAGAAGGGATTCAACTGCACCTTGTCCCCAGGAGAAGGGTTGTTTTTTCTTCCCTTTTCCACCCACGGTTGCCTGATGGACTTCCTTTTACTCTTCAAGGCCTAGCTACAACAGCTCCGCTTTATTTGATTACTTCAGTACTCATCTGTGAATCTTCATTTTAAGTGAGTTTGTTTTTCAATTAGAGAAAAGCTCTACAGAAAGTCTCATAAATATGAATTTATCATCTATCTATCATCTATCTATCTACCTATTTATCTGTAGATCAATCTATCTATGTATCTGTCCTCTATCATCTGTTTATTGGAAGAGCAATGAATTCTTTTGGAAAATAAAATCTGGGTGAAAATGTGTGGCTCTCCCAAGAAGAGAGCTTACTGGGTAGCATCTGGGTGATGCTCCTACTTCCGGAACATAATTGGATTTGTTGTTAATGGAACTCACTCCCCTGGGGGATAATCTTAATCTAGAATATGGTTAACTCTATTTAGAACCACAGAACACTAAGGCTGGAGACAATTTAGAAGCCATCCAGTCATTTTAATGGGGAAAATAATTTGCGAAGAGGTGAATTGCATTTCTAAGATCTATACCTAATTTAAGTCTCTGAGGAAAGATGCAGCATAACTCATTGGAATATACCGTATTTTGCTGTATATGATGTGCACCCATGGTTTTGGCCCAAAGTTTCAGGAAAAAAAAAAAAGAATCGTTTTAATTTTTTAATTCAATTGTTTATCTATTTATATTTAGATACTTTTTTTTGTATTATAAAGAAATTGTAGCAATTTATTTTTGAACGTGCTATGGTACAAGAAATTTTATGTCACAAATAATTACAAAACACAAGCCACAGATACAAGGTATTCCAGGTATGGCCCAGGTATAATGAGCATCCTTATTTTTCCCTCAATAATGTGGGCAAAAGAGTAGACATTATACACTGCAAAATACGGTACTTTGTGAGTATATTGTTGTAGATCTTCATCCTTGTTCTCCCCTTAGACTCACAAACATTCCTGTTGGACAATACATGATCATTTCTCTAATAACAAGAAGTTGTTACTTGATCTAGCCTAGTCCAACCATATTAGGGTAGTTAATCAGAGCAATCGATAAGCTTTGATAAGATAAAAATGGGGATAAGATAGTGTGGAAGCACTGATTTCTTTAATGTTCCTCCAGATTCTTTTCCTTTATTCTTTGGGAAGACGGGGAGAAAACTCATCAATATACAATATGGTGGATAACATTTGATTGAAGTCTAATTTGTTGGCCTTTTACAAAGCTCTTGCTCCATGGTAGGAGAGGAGTTGGGGTTTTTAAGGTGAGAGGACTGCTTGAGCAGGCAAGAACGGCACAGTAATGTGCCCTGGCTGCTGTGGCTCAGTGGATTGAGCACTGGCCTGTGAACCAAAGGGTCGCTGGTTCGATGCCCAGTCAGGGCACATGCTTGGGTTGCAGACCAGGTCCCCAGCAGACGGCGTGTGAGAGGCAACCACACCTTGATCTTTCTTTCCCTTCCCCTCTAAAAATAATCTAAATTGTTAATCTTGTCCCTGCATTAGGGACATTAGGGACAGAAACAGACAGCTATGGGGGCTATGTAGTGGTTGTAGGAGGGATATAACTCCCCAGGCTTACTATTAAATGCTAGCAATTATATTTGCTGCAAAGTTGTGACAGCCTTCCATCCATCCATCCAGGCTAGTTCCATATTTCCCTTTCATTAAAAGTGTTATTATTTTCACCAAGAAGTGTTGGTATATGATAAAACGGTGAAGATGAATCATTTTGAGGGTGGATATTTTAAGACGATAGAGAAAAATGAATTCACTGTTCCCAACCTCTGCATTGTTTCTGTTTGCTTTCACCATTTATTCCCTGAACTCAGGTGTAATTGTGAAAAAAAAGGGAAACTGCCTAAAGTTAACCTAGTCTTTTTTTGTTAGCTTCCTATTGGGTTTTCCGCCAAAAAGAGCGGTGTTCCTTTGTGAAGCACTAGATGGTGCTGTTGAGATTTTTGATAGAGCTTTTGTTTTAGGTACTGCACAGGCAGGATCTTGGACAATGACTGTCTCTCCTCCCTGTCGCCATCGACCCTCACTATACCCTGCCACAAACTCTTTCCAGAATGATTTTCCATACATTATAGCTTCCAATTATGTCACGTCCTTGCTCTAAAACCTTCAGTGCTTCCCGAGTAAAATCAAGAATAAAATCCAGATTCCTTGGCCTGATTAAGTCTCTTTACAGTTTGATTGCAGCTAAACGTTCCTAGCTTCTTTTTCATTTCTTCCTTTTGCACACCCCAAAATTCAATGGAACAGCTATGCTACAGTACCAGGGACGTTGTCTACATGTTTCCCATCACCTGCCTATCTTTTTTCATGGATTTCTTCTACTAGAAATGCCCTTTTCTCTGTCTACTTGCAAAAACTACCATCCTTCAGCTTAAATGACACCTTCTTGACCAAGGCTTTCCTCAGCCTCCATCCAAAGTAATTTCTGTATTTTTCCTTCCTAAGGAACTTTAAATTTATCTTGTAGATCAATGATTTATATGCATATATTGTCTTTTCTCACAGACTATCTGTATCCCATATAAGAACGCATCACACACAGGGCTAACACATGTGTTTTCCCATAAGTGCCCAATAAATGTTAATTGAGTGACTGAGGAAATGAAAGATGGAACAAGTTTCTGATTTGAAATGATTATTTATCATTGAAAATCACTTAGAGGTATCTTTTCATTCTAATATAATTATTGGGTTGGCCAAAAAGTTCATTTGGGTTTTTTCCTGTAAGATGGCTCTAGTGGTGCTTAGTTGTCTTTAACTTCATTTGAAACAACTTTCTTAGATTGTATTGTGCCAGCTGTCATATCAGCTTGCGTTTAAAAAAAGTATCAAAATTGGTGAATTTTTGTGTAGCCAATTTAATATTGAAGATGGGAGAAAATGCGCAACATTCTCGGCATTTTATTATTTCATGAAAGGTAAAAACAGAACTGAAATGCAAAAAATAATTTGTGCAGTGTATGGAGAAGGGGCTGTGCCTGACCAAATGTGTCAAAAGGGGTTTGTGAAGTTTCGTGCTGTAGATTTCTCGCTGGACGATACTCCACAGTCGGGGAGACCAGTTGAAGTTGACCGTGATCAAATCAAGACATCGGTTGAGAAAAATCAACGTTTTACCGTGTGGGAGATAGCCGACATACTCCCAACATCCAAACAGTAAAGTTTTTGGTGAAAATGAAAAGTGTATCTTGTATTTTACAGAAAAAAGAAAACTAAACAGATTTTTGACTAAGCCAATGAAAACCTTCCCAGCCTCAGAGCTTACAGTGGCTCTGTTAAGTATAGTCGCTTCCTAAAGTATTAAGGAAGGTACGAAATCATAAAGCTAACTCTAAAGTTAAAGTACACCCATATCTTGATACAGAGTAATCGTTTGTTTGTTAAATATTATAAATATATTTGAAATTCCCAGATCTTTGAGTGAAATATGCCCCCCAAAAACCTGATAAATAAAAAAACAAGGAAACAGGTTATCTTTAGTCCCATAAATAAACTTTACAGTCCTTACAGACCAAAATCAGAATTTCCTAATGTCTCTATTAAGCTTCAATTGTTTGTTTATATTAGATTCAATTGTTTATAACTAAGTCAAGTCAGTGATTTGTTAGGTCATTAAAAAAGACTAAAACTCTCAAACCGTAAACTCTAAGGGGTAGGCATCATTTAGGCTAAGCCATTCATTTGACAGATGATGGCTTTACTGGTCTTAACGAGCATTTAATTCATTTTTATGGAATTAATTGTGATGCCCCAATAATGAGACCCCACTAGGTGGAGACACGGATGCCCAAGAGGCCATGCCCGCCTTCAGGAGGCTCACAGTGTTGTGGGGGCGGAACTGAGGGGCCAGAGGTTCTGATACATTATAGCCAGAGCTATCTTAGCACACAAGTGGGTTATTAATTAACATAAACAAGCAATAAACATACATAAAATTAATTTTCAGCGCAGACGATGAAGGGAGTTACTTTGTTAAGATACTTTGCAAGTTGAAAGAGCAAGAATCATTCAGATAATGGAGCCATACCTCTTTGTGGCTCTGCAGTACTTTTCGCAAAGGTTTCTGCTTTGTGGTCAGTGCCTCTTACGACGTAATGGCAGATGAAGCCTAAACTGAAATCATAAGGTTGAAAAGGAAGTTAATGACATTAGTCCGGAAGGGTCATGGGAGCTTAGCAGCTGTATGTACGGATCCAAATGAGTGGTGGGACATCAAAGCTCTACGGACAAATTTAGGACTAGTTATTGGATTCCATGCTGCATTCTTTGTATTGCTGTTAATCTTGACATCCCTAGGGGCAAAACTTGGACTACGGACCCGGACTCATCACAGATGTTTGCTTCTGTGTGCACGTAGCTTCTGTATCTAAAGATGAACACAGTGTTATAAAAATGCTCTTCACTATGGAACCACGATATTTTCCCTATTTTCTCTTCTAAACAGTTTTTAATGAGGTTCGAAGGGGAAATAATTTACGGGTTCATATCCAAGCATCTAGGTTTCTAGGAGGGGTTAGAACATCAAAACCATCAAGTATATATCTGCCTGGGATGGCCTACGGACAGTTTTCCCTGAAGGGAAGATGGCCTAGAGGACCTTGGACTCTTCTCCCTGAAAATTATTTACATCACTAATATGCCTTTGGAGATCAAGTGCTTCCTAGTTTGTATAGGTAATTTTCCATGAGTGTATGTCCCTTCTCTTCCATTAAACTATATCATAAAATCCAGGCCCCGTGGACATGAACAGCTGAGTGGTGATTGCTGGGGGAAGGGAGGGATAAGGGGACTCAGTGGTAATGGGAAAAAATATATAATAAACATAAAAATAGGTCCAACAAAGTATAACAAGAAATGAGCAGAAAGGCTTTCTTAGAGGAGCAGCAACCTGAACACTTTTCTTCTAAATATGTGTTGCTCCACATCACATTTCATCCATGTTTTCAAAAACGTCAGAGGCTGAAGTGCTCTAAGTGCCAGTAAAATAAACATCTTCCTCCAGTTTATTCTTAGGAACTATAAACAGTCCTGGGACTTTCCAAAGGAACTCTACATGAAAAACAAAAAGGGAAATTCAGGGGAAAATCAAGGAAATGTAAAAAAAAAAATAAATAAATAAAACAGATATGTTTTAAAACTAGGACCCTGAATCTACAACCACAATATTGCTGTTTGAGTCTACTGTGTACTCACATAAGCATTTTTCAGATCTTCAGTTTCTTTTCTCTCTCTGAATGTTCCCGCCTTCTCCAGGTAAGGAGCTGACATAGGTAACGTATTACTAGCAGCCTGGGTGAAGTATGGGTTGCAGGTGGGAAACAGGTGGCTGTTATATTTTGTTACTCAGGCGGTAACCTTTTTTTTTCCAGCTCATCCTAGGTCTCTGTAATCAGTAAAAACATACTAACTGAGTGCAGAATGAAAAAAAATCCTTTCTAATCCCGGAATTATGCGATTCCACTCATCTTCTATATGGAGAGCATTAACTGTCGCTCTTTCACAGCTTTGTGTTTAGACAGAATTGAACATTCCTCCCTAGCATGGGAAGAGAAAGAAAGTTAATGAATTTCGAAGGCCTATGTATAAGAAGCTGAATCCTAATTTACCAGGCTAATACACTAATTAAGCATTTCCATGGTAGCTGTGCAGTTACAATTTGGCCCACTCATTACATTGTCTGAGTAACAGTGCAGTTGTTTCCTCAGGCTTGGGATCCTGAGCTGTCCTCTTGGCTTCTTTTAGTAATTTGGAGCTTTGCACTTAGCAGAGACTTAATGCTTTCACTCTTTTTTCTTTTTCCTTTTTCCTTTTCAGTTCCCTTCAAGACTCTTGTCTCTGACAGTAATAGCTTTAGCAGGATTTAACTTCAATTACTTAATTTAGGAGTTATTCAGATCTCCTATTCCATCAGCCTTTTTATTTGGCTTAATTTATATACTCATATATACACACACACACACACACACACATATATGTATACACACTCCACATATACATATATGTGGAGAGTATATATACTGTCTATAGATATGTATATATACTCCATATATTTGGAGAGTGTATATATGTGTGTGTGTATATGTGTGTGTGTGTGTGTGTATGTGTATTCTCTCTCTCTCTCTCCCCCCTCTCTTTCCATCAACGCTTAACCTCCTTTGAAGGTGTAACCTGGTCAAGCTCCAGTGAATGAGGTAAATAAGAGAGCCCAGAGATAATCTAAAAATATAAGGTCCCAATTCACCCACCAGCCTCTTTATTGTTGCTGCCCTAGAACTACCTAGAATGAAAAGGACGGTCATGCTTTCTACGTGTGGTTCGGGTAGAGCTGTGATCTGCAGTGGCCTAAGGTGGTTCCCAGGCTAGAATTTTCTATTAAGTGAAGATACTGGCCATTCCTCTTTCTATTTTGTTTCTAGTCAAACAAAAAGTCCTTTCTGATCCTCTCAACCCAATGTAACATTTCTCTCCTTTGATGTCCCGTAGGATTTTGTTTGCAGTTTTGTGGATAATTGTCATTTCTTGTTTTGTGCCATAGTCATCTCTGGGGTTATTCAGTTTGAACTGCCCCATTCTTCCCACCTAGTCCTACTCAACTTAAAGGGCAAATAACCAAGTCATATTCTTTTTGTGTGTTGTGCTGTACCTAGTACTGCGCCTTTTAAATATTGCTTGATTTGAGTAAATCAATTTTCTGTATTATTTCATTGATGTCTTATCAATAGCAGAGGGCATCGTGGGATAAAGAAAGGCAAGGGACATGGCGGAGAATTTACAGGACCAGTAAACAGAAGACCCGGATCATGCATCGGGCTGTAGTGGACGATGGCGTGATCTTGACCGAATCCCTTCTTATGACCTCTTCGCTTATCTGTAATTTAATAGGGCTGTATTATACGATCTTTGAATTCCCCTGTAGTTTGCCATTCTATAGATCTATGAACATCAGGGTATGTTTTGCCCCCCTTGATATGGTTTTGATCTTAGGGGAAGAAAAGAGCAAGCAGGATAGGAGACTTATGGCCGCAATGGAATGTAAACTTGTCCCACTTTCTAGGGCTCGGAGGTCGTTCTCTCTGGCCTAACCCCTGTTTTACAAGTTACAACATCTCTGCTTCTGGAGAAACTCATAAAGTCACTTTAGTCGGTTCCTTTTAATATCTCTTGAGTAAGATGCCTATCCTGCTTGATCACACAGCTTTAGGGTTCCAGAAAAAACAATCTGCCCATCCATATATTAGCTGATCCCTGAAATCTACTCTACAGAGTTCCTGGCAGGCCTTGATTTCTTGGTAAAATGAGTCTTTAGGAGTGTCAGGCCCCAGATTTATCGGACTCTGTCATCGCAGATGGAAGGACTGTGATGAAGGGAAGGGGAGAGAACGGAAAGACGCTGGCAACCTGAGACTTGAAGACACTGGTTAAAATTGCAGCTGGGAAACAGCACAGGCCTGGGAAGCTGGCGGTGAAGGAGGGGACAGCTCTCACTCCTGCCCGGTTTCACCCCAGTTTAACATCAACTCTTGATATCTTTCCTCTCCATTCCTCTTCATTAATACTGCTGCTTCTTCCATTCTGGCTCTCATTATCCCAGACATAGATGACTTAAAATGATCTCCTCCTTTTCCCTTGGACCTTGTATTTTACCACGCTGAACTGTTTGTAATTCTTGAAGAGATCTTTCATGCCCTTTTAATTTCAGGCTCTTTTCTCTCAAAATCATCTTGCAAACCACTGCCAGATTAGTCATTTTTAACCTTTGGTTTTGCCCTATCTTTTTATTGCTCAAGAGCTAACAAACACCTATGATCAGTCCCAATCTTATATTTCAGGCAACTACCTATACAAACTAGCCTTACCCTCCTAGCCAATCTTTTGTCTCCTGGAGAAAAGCCTTAATGGCAGAGGCTAGAGAAAGGTTAATAATACCTGGAAGAAGAAGAAATGCATTAGTAAGTACTAAGGAGAGCCTAGGGCTCTTAGAAAGAGAGCTTTGTAACAATCTGGAGCATCTTTTTGGATGTGCAGTTATCTCTAAGATACGCTATAGAATGAAAGTGGCAGCTTGATTTTTGGAATAGGGGCTCTTAGGAAAACTTGGTTGAGGAACAATGTTACCCTGATATGCTAGTTTAGAATCTGGATTTGTCTTCCCTGGGGTGTAGGATAGTGACTCACCACAGTAGGCTAATCCACTTGCTCTTTAGATCAGTGATTTTGCCCTGAGACCATGTCTTCTAGTACCAAAGTTTAACTTCTTTTTATGTTATCCTGTCTTCATGTAAGCGTCTCCATGGTTACCACCCGCCCTGCCCTATGCTGAGCCCACCTCCAGCCTTGCCCCAATTGCATCATCTTTTGAATAATGAAACACCTATTTTGACCTCGTTATTTATGCAGTATAAACAAGTCGTCAACATTTTTGTTTCCTTAAACATAGGATCTTGGGAGGTAGTTAAATATACCTGATATCTCGAACAACCCTCATCCAAGGAAATGCTGGGATCAACTTTGATCAGCAGGGTGAGAGATGGGCTTTTGTTCTCTTTCTAACAACTGGGCTCTAAAACGATCTTAGGAGATCGTCTTCATTCTGGAAGTTGGTTCCAAGAAGATTGTGAGAAAATTTCCCAAAATGGACAATTAAGAGGATCTGTATTAGTCTAATTTTGGAGACGTTATACATTACTGATCTCACTTTGTGGGAGTTAAAAAAAAATTACAAATAGTTTTACTTGGGAAAAGGGATTTACTTATGTGGGTTATGAAATGTGCAAGGAACCAAAACCATCCACATTAGAGGAGACATGTACTTTCTATGAGGGGCAAGCAGGTAAGTGAAAATGTATACCAAGCCTACTTTGTTTTATAACATACAGGAAGATAAGGCAAAAATTCAAAATTAGAGGAAAAAAACATGCTTTATCTTAAGGTCAGTTAGTTGGTTTTAGAAAATGTAACATTGAAAGATAGGTATGGTGTTGAGGGGGTGGCAAGGAATCTCTTCAGTTCACATTGTGGGAAAGCAAGAAGGCTATATGGTTCCACACTGAGATTCTAAGCTTTTTAAAATTTTCATTATTTTTTATTTTTTAAAAGATTTTATTTATTTATTT